GAATATCTGATTACTGGGCAGTGGGTCATAGCAACACGGGAAAGATTAGATTTCACAATAGTTTGTGAAAGTGACGTCAGACGACTTAGTGCCCTAACAGTGCGCCCTCCATTAGGTGTAATAAGGTTCAAAGAGTCATGCTCTGCGTCAAATGACTATTTGACTCTGTTGCCCTATTACCAAACTGAGAGCAGATATAGTTTTGAGGACAAATTTCTAAAACTGATCAATAGGCTGAATACAACGCAAATGCTCCTGTTCGAACTCTAACAAAGAAAAACGTTTGATGTCAAAAAGGCTAGATTACCAAAGAAACTAAGATATCTCGATAAAATTCCAATGGATCACTTAATTGAACAATTAGAGTCAATGGATACGATTGAGGAAATGGAGACTGGGAACTACTTATGGACCTTTGTTATGGTGGCATTATCAGTTACATTGATAATAGTGTCGGTTACTGACTTTTCAAAATTTATCAAACCCTGGCTTGCCAAAAGAATTAGGAGGGGAAAACACACCCATGTTGCTTCCGAGTTCGAGTTGGTGCCTGTTGAAACGGAAGGTGCGGTTACCACCGACAGGGAGGGGATAGCCTCTGCACCACTCGTGCCTGGAAGGGTGGACGGAACAGGAACATCAACGGTAGTGTGACAACTCTACCCAAGTCTGGACGTGACTGGATAATCACCACCCGGGAACAACGGTGGCGACGTGATCCAGACTGTGTTGTGTCCCGACGGGATGTCCAAGGACTAACTCGTGAACGACCAATGTTCGGTTAAATTCCCCAGTGTGTTGAAACTGTGGGAATGTGAGTGAACTGTGTAAATATTTACCAACCCTTTCAAGGAAACTATAATTTTCCATTTGTGTACTATGGTGGACTGTAGCAACAGTATATGGTGAAACACAACGCAAGGACTATATAACCATACAAGAAAAATGAAAGGGACTCTCTGCCCGCCTCTGCCTGCCTCTACCTGCAGCTGTTGGACCCTGCCGGGACCATGCTGACTAGACCAGCCCTGTGGACTCAGTGATGGGACTGTGACTGAAATAAATACTTCAATTCCTTGCAAACCTAGGCCCATCTTTGGGTCGATTCCACCATCTGCCCTACCTTCTGTATATCGAAATGGGTCTCTTCTTGTTCCTCCTCCTCTATTTCCTCGTTGGAATCGTCCTCGTTGTCATCGTCGATGTCCAGCCTAGACAAGACGTCGACCAACATATTCGTGGTTTGCCACGCACAAGTCTCCATGTTCCCCAGGTGGTTGTAGAAGTCCTGGATGGTTGGCAACATTCTATCGGGTATTGCTACTTTCGATCTATCCCGAGTCATCTTTAGTGGTAATAGTTGGGTGACCGGCAACGATACTTCTGGTGGAACTTCTTCTTCGACTGGCGGTATGGTTTCCTCGATCGGATCTCGCCATATGTCGTAGATTCTTGTGGACCCAATACCGAAGCGCTTTTGACCTCGCTTGCTGGGAGCACCCGAAGGGAGCGTATTTCTTGCATCTTGTTTTTTCCTGGGCATATATATACCCATACTTCCTATATGTCTATATGGGAATCCCAATCCTCTCCCAGGAATCCCAATCCTCCCCATAAACCTCTAACAATGCTTAGCAAATGCTTAGCAATACTTAGCAATGCTTGGTAATAAGACGTTCAAACACCGAATGAATGTGTTGAGAAGCGACAAACACAACATCTACGGCATCACCCTCAACATGATGTCACTGTCGCCCTGGATACCAAACGGTGAATCGCCGCGTACGGGCACATGCTCATAAACCACTGACGCGTTGGGAGTTTCTAAGGCCCACCACTGGGGTCTAGGCTGTACATCGGACGGCGAAATCGTTAATTTATACTTGGGAGCGGAATTGACATATAATGACACGCTTAGTTGGCCTGTAACAGAACCCCCCACTGTGGGGGGAGTTTCTAAGGCGAATGTCGGGGGTCTGGGCTGTGCATCGAATGATGCCTCTGCTCGAAATCGCTAATTTATACTTGGGGCTTGCAGCAGAATTGGCATATAATGACGCTCTTAGTTGGCCTGTAACAGAACCCCCATTCTGTATACTACTCCGTCAGTACCATTCCATCCCAAACCATCGGACAATTACTATCACATACATATGGACATAGCTCTATATCTATACTATTCACACTTTGCTAAGGACAATCATGGTTTCAACAAAAAACTATGATGTGTGGTCAAATTTGGTTTGAATATCTAACCTTATTGTAAGCATGGATCCTAGGTTTCAGTATGTCATGTCATCTTGTGGATCCCATACCTGCTACTGACAGGTGTTGTGTGATTTTTTGCATGATTTTTATGGTTACTCATCGTGCTTATCAAGTGCTGAAGGTTAGATTAAAGTGAATGTTTGCCTAAAGAGGGGTTACCATATTATTATTTATCCAGTTTTAAATGGATACAATTTAAAATGTTTAACCTACGTTTAAGTAAAGTTGTGATTTTTTGTGATCCTTAGCAAAGTGTGAGTAGTATATAATCAGTACATTCGTCTATTTTACGCCTAATCCGCATTAACAAAGTTCTGTTGTAGAAGGTGTTTTGGTATTTTTGTATATGTTGACGTAAACAATTAGCTTCTCTCCTCTTTATTCAGGCTTCAGGCAAATTTATAGGCGCAATTGTAGTATAACATATAATTTGAATGATATGAAATGACAAAAGCGAAGAAGTTGCCAGTTGGGTGTGGACTGGATCACTAGCTCTGTACAGCCAGGGTGTCACATGATTCTGACCACGCGTGGTTGGTCATAATGCCTAAAGACTTACGATAAGTCATTATTTGAAAGCACATTCCACACAAAAAGCCAATAACCGCTTTTCTCAATGCTGTTATGCTATTTTCTAGATTATACCCCTTTCAAACAAAAGGTAATTTGTGTCGCAAAGTAATCTACAGCAATCAACCTTTAATAGGAAGACTTACCTTACAGTGATAACCAAAACGATTCTCAGATGTCAAATGTATATTTAGATAGAGTGAGTGAGTGAGTTTAGTTTAAAAGCCTCACTCAGCAATATTCCAGCTATATGCCGGCGGTCTGTAATGAATCAAGTCTGGACCAGACAATCCAGTGATTAACAGCATGAGCATCGATTTGCGCAATGGGAACCGATGACATGTGTCAACCAAGTCAGCGAGCCTGACCACCCGATCCGTTAGTCGCCGGTTTTGACAAGCATGGGTTACTGACGATTCATTCTAACCCGGGCATTCACGGGTCCAACCTTTAATAGTGATACTTACAGTGATAAACAAAAGATTCTCTTATGTCAAATGTATATTTGAATAGAAAGACATATAGTAAACTAAAGTGATAACGAACTCAGAGGGACCAAACATTTAGTTCGGTACAACCGTAGTTCGTTATACGCATTTTGACTAAAATATACACGTGGTTGGGTCCAATAACAGTTCGTTATATCCGTCAGGTCGTTATAAGCGTGTGAATTGTAAACGGATGACTAGTTGATTGATCTGCATTCCAGAAGTTGGTGAGTCAAAAATGAAACATACATTATAGATGACAAGTTCGTGTTTATTGCATAGAGCGACGTTTGATGTGCCCAACGTCGCTCTATGCAATAAACAAGAAGTTGTCATCCACAAAATTGTATGTTTCATTTTGTATCTGATGACCCTTATCGAAAATTGAGTGATATGTTGCACTGCTTATCTCTGGTCTGATTTTGTCATCCTATCTTCAGGCCTCGTCTACAACCAGGAACTGAAGACCTGTGACTGGCCGAACCACGTGGCACCACCTTGCGGGACGAGACACTGATGATATTCAGAGTTACCTCGGATTGTTTAACTAGGACGAAGACATTCGAATGTCTCGGCTTCTTTTGTTAGCACTGCCCAGTTCTAATCTGTGCACATACTCAAAGACACGACAGTGTTGCGATAACGGGAAGACATAAGATAAGAGTACAGACTTACTTGCAAAGAATTTTGACATGCCTGATCTTCCAGCGAGGTCATCGAGATCTTGCACTGTAGATACTTATTATGCAATGACGAGGTGATGATATTTGTAATTTGTCGTTCTAATAAATATTTTTGTTATTTTACGTTTGATACTTTGATAAGACAAATGACCTCCATAGGTCGTTTGGCAACATCGTGTTATCCTGACACTATGGCAGTTGTAACATGACGTGGAAGTTTCACACAGTTGACCTTCTTCCCATCTCAGACTGCAGACTGGGTTAGTCTCTTTAGTCAGTGAGTGAGTAATTTTAGTTTTCGCCGCTTTAAGCAACATTCCAGCAATATCACGGCAGGAACACCAGAAATGGGTTTAACTCATTGCAGCCATGTGGGAATCGAACCCGGGTCTTCGGTGTGACGAGCGGATGCTTTGACCATCAGGATACCCCACCGCCCCGAATTACGTTAAGAATGAGTGTGGGCGATGTTGTGTGGATTAGATCTACACTTTATTCCAGTGGATTCTTGCACAGTCTGCTTGGTGTCTGGTTCAGGATATACCGCACATATAGTATGACAAGCACTAAATACCAGAAAATGGCCAATGAAATATATATCTTCTGATTTACATTATATTTCTGGAGATTACGGACCCGCAGTCAATCAGCTGGAAAATGACTGCAGGGCGGTTTTTTGAAACTGGTTTGTAACACCAAACCAACATCGTAACCTTTTGCCATTGTTGCCTTGACGTCATAACACGGCGTGAGGGGAGGGTAACGTTGTAAATCTACCGGGAAGAAATCCTCCTGAAAATGGCAGCCTGACCTGCGGCAAGAAGCGCAAGTGCTTCAGGACAGATAAACCAGTCTACGTCATGGACTGTTTTATGTTTTATCATGGTGCATGGGCGTCCTACCTTGATCCTATCTGCGGCCGGAACCACACTGACCTCCGATAACACTGAGCATGTGACAAAGTCGACCGAGTGCAAGTCTAGGCAAAAGATAAGTGTCTGCGTCCTTCCCACCAGTTTGCCATTCTCCTTCGTCTGGTTCAACATGCTCTGTCTGGTGCTGCTAGCTCTCCTTCCGACAGGTGAGTGAGAGGGTTGGGTGAATGAGTGAGTGAGTGAGTGAGTATGCGTGTTGGTAAGCGAGTGTGTGAGCGAGTGAGTGCGTTTGTGTGCGAGCGTGTGTGCGTGTGGATGCGTGAGTGAGTGATGCCTCACATAGAGACAGTACAATCTGAGTCGATTCTTGTACCTTTCATAAGCCATCTTCTTGTAACGCCCTCTGGTATAACGCTGCTCGGGATCAAACCCTTTCCACCTTCCGAACAGACACTCTATCTTCTAAACCATGGAGGAGATTAATTATTACGTAGAGGGTGTTCAAACGTTAACCGCTTCAATGTGAGTCTAAGACCTTGGTGTTGACAAACCTAGAAACATAATCAAAGAGAATTTGAGATTCGAACCCAGGACCATGAGGATCTTGTACCCCCGGCCCCTTATGTATATGTCGACAACTATCTATAGACTGCTGTGCTTCAAGAATATTTTGAAATCCTTTTCCGTGGGTGACATCCGCGTTATAACTAGCAATGGTAATGATCTGTACAGAAAAACAGGATGCCATAACTTCGTTTGTAATGACCGCTGGATGCCTACCCTTAAAAGAGGAATCTCAGGTTTTTCGTGCATCATGTGATATACTGCCCTCTTAACTGCCCACGTCCGTGTTCGTGAAATATACACGGACATCCACTCATATATTACAGGTAACGATTGTCATGTCGAGAGCATTTTAAAACACATCCTTGTGAATCGTGGTTGACCGGCCATCTTGAATGGTACACGAGGACTTGGTGAAAATTCCAGCCTACTAAACAACTCGTGATATTCAATGCTACGGAATTCTTTTAGGGCCATTCGATTCTTTATTTTTATATTGAAATAACATATTATCTTGAAATATCAACTTATTAGCTTTAAATTTCAAGATCGTAACTCCCAATTTCAACATATTATTTTGAAAATTTAAGATAATGATCTTGGACAAATTCTTATCTTGAAATTTCAAAATTATTGCCTTGAAATTTCAACTTAATATGCATCTTGAAATTTCACCTTAGTATCTTGAAATCTTCAAGAAGAAGTATTGAATAACGAATGGCCCTAAAAGACTTCCATATAATACACAGTTTCATTTTATTCACTGCAACTTAATGCTTGTTGCAGCGTTTGCGATAGACTGCGCCGCCGAGGGTGATGGAGTTCACGAGATGGGATGTCGCGCCTTTGTCACTTGTAATGCTGGAGTTGCCACGATAACGGAATGTAAAGGCAACACGGTCTATGACGGAATCACAAAGACATGCCGCGAGTAAAGTATATTTTTACTGATGACATGTTTTATTGTTTGATGTCAAGTCCGGGGGTACTTTACACCACACCCTTGATTATCTGTTCTATTGTGATTAATCGAGGGTTATCCGTTCTATTGTGATTATTCGAGGCTTATCCGTTCTGTTGTGATTATTCGAGGGTTATGCGTTTTATTGTGATTAATCGAGGGTTATCCGTTCTATTGTGATTAATCGAGGGTTATCCGATCTATTGTGAATAATCGAGGGTTATCCATTCTATTGTGATTAATCGAGGGTTATCCGTTCTATTGTGATTAATCGAGGGTTATCCGTTCTATTGTGATTAATCGAGGGTTATCCGTTCTATTGTGATTAATCGAGGGTTATCCATTCTATTGTGATTAATCGAGGGTTATCCATTCTATTGTGATTAATCGAGGGTTATCCATTCTATTGTGATTAATCGAGGGTTATCCGTTCTATTGTGATTATTCGAGGGTTATCCGTTCTATTGTGATTAATCGAGGGTTATCCGAGATGTTCGTGATCTAACATAAAGTAGGTCAGATTTTAAAAAAGAATATAAGTTATGCATATGGTACAAAGATGCTCCAGCGTTTGTTCCTCCAGTCAAACCTGGAGGTACCATTCCTCACGCCCAGGAGTATTCGGTCTGTTGTCATTAATACAGCGCTAATTTACCAGTGAAGATCCAGGTTAGAATTGGTCTTCACTAACCCATGCTTGTCGTAAGAGGCGACTAACGGGATCGGGTGGTCAGGCTCGCTGACTTGGTTTCACATGTTCGTTTCCTTATTGCGTAGATCGATGCTTATGCTGTTGATCACCGAATAGCCTGGTCCAGACTCGATTATTTAGAGACACCACCATATAGCTGGGATATTGCTGACCGCGGCGTAAAACTAAACTCACACACTCACTCAGCGCTAATTGGAGAGGTTCGTGGCTACACATAAAAAAAACAGATGAATTCCTTTAGAAATATCAGTCATTCCTTTGACTTCAATAAACATGGTCCAGAGATGATCCACATCTGTTCTTCCTGCCCCTTAGAAGTCTTCGTTTATGACAGACACGAGTAGTGTGCTCGGTAAAGGATATTAATGGTTGTTATTCAACGGATTTGCAGCCAGCGATTGTCCTGGTATGAGGTTGAACATTTGTTTATTAATGTTTTAGCAGTTCAATTATTTCTTCCGAAATAAGTGAGTGAGTGAGTTTAGTTTCACGCCACCTTTAGCGATATTCCAGCAATATCACGACGGGGGACACCAGAAATGGGTTTCACACATTGTACCCATGTGGGGAATCGAACCCGGGCCTTCGGCGTTTCGAGCGAACGCCTTAACCACAAGGCTACCCACCGCCCCTTCAACATAAGAAAGAACTGGACATATGTTTAACATATTATTTCTAATATATATGCTTTGAGTTGATCGATGACTTACTTTACGCCCGTATATACCATGTATGCTCCCTGCATCTATCGATGATCGAGCCCCATCTCAGTGCTGCTTCTATTGGACGCGTACGGCCGTGCATTTGGTAGCATATTACGTGTATTTGAGTCTGACTGTTTTGAGTGCTTGGTGATTCTGGCAGTCACCTACATTCTAGGTTTTGGTGGCGGAATGTATACCAAATGTATCTCTTGTCATCAGTGTGCGAAATAGCCAATGGCGTACTAGCCCGTGCCTAGTAAAAATCCAGTTGGGCCAGTAAATCTCCAAGTCACTTGCCCGACTGGCTAGTGAACTTTTATGGGGTCATTTTAGAAATATATCACTCTCTCCGACTTGTTTAGTTATAATGCATTTTAGATTATGACCTGATAAATGATGGTATTTTAACTTTTTGTATTTTTAAATTATTTTTTGCATTCACATTTCAGGCTAGTGAATTATTTTGTGGGCTAGTAACTTAAGGCATAGCTATCCCGACTGGCAAACTAAATTTGTAAACTTTTTCGCACACTGCTGGTCATTGCTTTTTCCCAATAAAAAAACTGGTCCTGTCTGAAAACGTGACTTTTTTCCTGTCTCCAGTCCCAATACGCTGACGAATCTCTGCTCACAGAGCATAGACTGTTCTATCAAGAAAGACGGGAAGTACGCTGATGTAATATGCAGTACCTACTACACCTGCAACGGTGGAACCTTCTTTGGCCACAACTACTGCCCCGGAGGTGAGTGACGTCATGGATGATGGAGTGAGTGAGTGAGTTTCGTTTTACGCCGCTTTTAGGGACCGTTCATAATTTACGGCTACGGTGATGATGATGATTTTAAGGGAGGGTCAACCATTTTGTTCCGGGGAGCCAGGGGGTATCAATTGATTTGGTAAGGATGACATAAGGTGAAGGGTAAAGTATAGGGTAAGGATGGCATAAGGTGAAGGGTAAAGTATAGGGTAAGGATGGCATAAGGTGAAGGTAAAGTATAGGGTAAGGATGACATAAGGTGAAGGGTAAAATATAGGGTAAGGATGGCATAAGGTGAAGGTAACGTAAAGGGTAAGGATGGCATAAGGTGAAGGGTAAAGTATAGGATAAGGATAGCATAAGGTGAAGGGTAAAGTATAGGGTAAGGATGGCATAAGGTGAAGGTAAAGTATAGGGTAGGGATGGCATAAGGTGAAGGGTAAAGTATAGGTAAGGATGGCATAAGGTGAAGGGTAAAGTATAGGGTAAGGATGACATAAGGTGAAGGGTAAAGTGTGGGGTAAGGATGGCATAAGGTGAAGGGTAAAATATAGGGTAAGGATGGCATAAGGTGAAGGTAACGTAAAGGGTAAGGATGGCATAAGGTGAAGGGTAAAGTATAGGGTAAGGATGGCATAAGGTGAAGGGTAAAGTATAGTGTATGTATGTATGTATGTATGTATGTATGTATGTATGATGTATGTATGTATGTATGTATGTATGTATGTAAAGTATGTATGTATGTCTGTCTGTGTGCGTGTGAGAGAGAGAGGAGAGAGAGAGAGAGTTAGTTGTACGCCGCACTCAGGAGATATTCAAGCTATATGGCGGCAGTCTGTACTTAATCAGAGTCTGGACCAGACAATCCAGTGATCAACAGCATGAGCATCGATGTGCGGAGCAATTGGGAACCGATGACATGTGTCAACCAAGTCAGCGAGCCTGACCACCAAGAAACCGTTAGTCGCCTCTTACGACAAGTATGGGTTACTGAAGGGAATCAATATTCTAAACGGACCTTCACACGGAGAGAGAGAGAGAGAGAGAGAGAGAGAGAGAGGTGGTGTGTGTGGATAGATGAGAGATCGGTCAGGAAGGGCATACTCGTAAAGTGAATGACACAGGAATACATTTTGGATTTTTAGCTCTGTCGAGTTAGAAAGTGACAGGTGCTAGGATCCACAAGACACTGACTTAGTGTCGGGAAAAGTACCAGTGGAAACACGTAGACAAGCAGATGCTGCATGCCTATTATAGGAGACTATCTCCGTGTTGTAACGTGAGGAGGCACAATTCCATTACAGCGTGTGAAACGTGTCGGGCGTGGATTAGTGAGTGAGTGAGTGAGTTCAGTTTACGCCGCACCATATTTTTTTGTTTCGTTTGTTTTAACGCCGCACTCAGCAATATTCCAGCTATATGGCAGCTGTTCCAGACAATCCAGTGATCTACAGCATGAACATGGATGGATTTACGTACATACGATGACATGGGGATACGATAACGTGTCAACTAAGTCAGCGAGCCTGACCACCTGATCCCGTTAGTCGCCTCTTACGACAAGCATGGGTTACTGAAGGTTCATTTAACCCTGATCTTCACGGAGTCAAGCGTGGATTTAGTCACGTTCCTTTATTATACTTTCTAAATGATATTCGAACATCAGTCACAGACTTGGTCTCATAATTGTTTAACAATAAACAGGGATTGTGCAATTTGACGCTGAATAACATTTTTCTAAACGCTACAGCAAACCGGATCAGCCAGGCTGGTTTGTGTGTAAGGAGTAACTCATTACCATCCTAAAAGCACAGATAGTTCTGATTCCAATGCAATACGTTCACGTGGATGACACAGGTGTGTAAAGTGTGACCTTTTCTATTCACTTCCTAACAAAATAAGGACGAAAACATCGATTCAAAGATTCAACGTATTTTGAAGGTTCTATTAATTTCATATTCTTCTAGGATTGGGACTGTTGTCGAGTTTGGGTCCAGACTATGGGGTACTGTTTGGATTTGGATTAGGGCCTGGCAAGCGGTGAAACAGGAATTATACGTTAGAGGAATTATAGAAGGTAACAAAGCAATGAAACATTAATGAAATGCATGCTTTAATCCCTTTTGAAAGGGAATTGAACTTGGGTCACATCCGAAGGCTTGAACGAGAAGGCCACATCAACGTCACTGTAGTTTTGTTTGTTTGCGCTCTCTGCAATATTCCTCCCGTAGGGTCTCTAAAACATCGCGTCTGGACCAGACTATCCACTGATTGACAGCCTGGCAGAGTTTTACACAAGTGCGATCCCATAACACTCATCAACCATCTTTGCTAGACTGACCACCCGATCCACGGTTACTTGCTTCTCACAATGACCACATCTTACCCGGATATTTACGGGTCTGCCGCAGTAGTAGTAACACATAATTTACCCTTCACAATGGAGAGTATGCATAAAGCTCTTTCAAACAGTATCCTCAACTCCTGGGGATCATACAGGAGTACAGTGACGTAATGGGTAAATATTGACAGATCCGACATCTCTCAACGTTCGGTTCGTTTTGTGGCACTACCTATGTAAGGTTGTATATTAAATGGTTTCTCGTTTATACATGCACGAAATAACCATTTAATTATAGATTCGTGTCTGGAAACTGAGCTGAGCTGATAATCAACAAGCACTCGCGGAGATTACTTGCCTGATCATCGGTTTATCGATATATTTATAACAAAATCAGGCCTTAATCTTGTATCAGCATGAATATCTGACATTATGATCACACATAGCTGAGTTTATTGATTAAATCTTTTGTCATACATAGAAATCTATTTAGAAATGAGAGAAAATCAATATACTGCCCACTGTTAACATCGTGGTAAACAGTTATAAGAGGCGCTTGTCATACGAGGGCGACTAACGAGGATCGGGTGGAGTAGACTCGCTGACTTGGTTGACACATGTCACCGTATCCCAATTGCGTAGATCGATGCCCATACTGTTGATCACTGGATTGTATGGTCCTGACTCAATTATTCACAGACCGCCGTCTTATAGCTGGAATATTGCTAAGAGCAGCGTAAAACTAATCTCACCCACTCACTCACTCACTCCTCGTGGCATCGGTAGGGTTAGTGGTGAAGTCCTCGCACGTCCCGCCGGGGACCTCTGTTCGGACCCCGTACCCACAGCACGGTATGGTGTCACGGTGTCTTCTATTCTAAAAAATACAACAAACGCTTACTCCCTCACTCAACCTCTAACTGACAGGTAGTCACTGGAAGTGAGTGAATAATATTTTACTCTTCTAGTCAGCTACGTGGCACCATCAAGGCGTTGGCAGGGGCAACGATCCGTAACCGGTGTTTCAAAGAATTAAATACACATTTCATTGGTCCATTGTAACTTTGCACAATAGCCATGGTGCATACTAAAATTTGGATTCAAATACAAAGTCCGGAATGATATCCACATTAACCTTATGATAAAAGGGAATATGATTCAGTGATGTTTTTTACAGGTGGACAATCACCGTCGATCACCCTGCTTGGTTGGGAAGTTGTCTGTCTGTCACTGACCTAATTCATGCAATTACTATGCTGTTTGTTGCACTTAGCAATATTCCAGCTATGTAGTGCCAGCCTGTAAATAATCAAGTCTGGACCAGACAATCCACTGATTGACATCACGAGCATCGATCTACGCAATTGGTATACGATGACATGTCAACCAGATCAGCCAGGTCCGTTAGTAAGCCTGACCTTCCGATTCCGTTAGTCGCCTCTTACGACAAGCATGGGTTTAACTCGACGACAGCGGCGGCGACGGCGACGGTTACGACCGTGAAACAGGCGAAGATTTTCTGGTTCAAATGATCCTTTGAAACAGATTCCTTGTGCCCCAACCACCTTCTCCATCACGCACGCACGAACGCACGCACGCAAGCACGCAGACGCACAAGTGCAATAGTGTTATATAAATGCACTCAAGACCTAAACATGTAAACAATGTTTAACATAACGAATGCATGTATGATGACATGAGATCCACGGTCGGTGGACACGCTCACGCGAATCTTACATCCCATTACGATGACACACTTATCACGGCCAACAGTTGTCATTAACAAAGTGAAAACTAGAAACGGTCACAGAAAAACAAACTCAAAGCCATTGTATGTAGAAAATGTTTGTTCTGTCTTTGTTCTGACATATGGCACAGACCTTTGGTATATATGTACCCAAAACAAATGCTATTTTCCTAGCAACCGCCATGTTGACTTCACTACAGTACCAGTTTGTGCCTGAGGCGATGACATCTCGAAGCTCCAAACCCTGCCAGATTAGGGTTAAGGCCACTGCATAGGATGCGTCTTGACCGTGTGTTGAGCTTTAAAAGTACTTTTGTTCCGTGATATTGTCTACCAGCCAACTGTTTCACACCTTACTATTGATTTCCTCACAACTAATTTTTATTCTTGTCATATCCTGCATAATTCACACTGTGAAAGAACAAGCACTGTGATATAAATGGAGCCGATTATTTCAGTAACAATGAGATATAAAAAGGATTAAGACAGTATGTTTGTTTTGTGGGTTTCGACAGAATCATCCTGAATACGCAATCACCCAGACACTATCATTACAAACCATTAGGAATATAATGAATACAAACGTTGAACGTGAAAAGGTAAACCATCAGTAATTTCAGCGTCATTTAACAAAACGCTCAAACGACAAAACATATAAGAGATCGTCTGTGGCTGTTCTATTCACTATGCATAACCACCCTTTGCTATGGCAGGATTTGCTGATCGTTGAATCAATTCCTCAATACAAATAGTCACAAAGTGTCTGAATGAGTTTGTAGTAAATGGTACAAATACGTTTTGTGTTTCA